GAGGCCAAGATCACCCTGATACCAAACCAGACAAGACAAGACAACTATAGACCAATTATCTTTCATAAACAAGGACATAAATTTCCTCAACAAAATATTGACAAATCAAATCCAGCAACATATATGTCTGTGTACGTGTATGTGAGTGTACATATATCTCGCCGTGACCAAGTGGAATGTATACCAGCAATGTAACACGGGTTCAGCATTTGAAAATCAATCAACGTAACTCAAACTTTTAACACGCTAAAGAAGAAAAACCAAATGGTGATACAAACTGATGCAGAAAAAGCATTTAACAAAATTCAATGGCCATTCATGACAAAAAGAGCTCAGCAAAATAGAAACAGAGGGAACTCCCTTAGCCTGAATGAGGATCTCTGCAAAAAAATTAAAACAAACATCACACTCACTGGCAAAACACGGAATGCTTTTTCTCCATGATAGGAAACAAGGCAAAGATGTCCATTCTCACCACTCCTGTTCAGCACGGGTACTAGAAGACCACCAAAAAGGCAAGAAAAAGAAAGAGAAGACACAAATATTAGAAAGAAAGAAAGAACACTGTCTCCTTCACAGACAACATAATTGTCCAAAGAGACAATCTCATGGAACCTACCAAAAAAAAAGCTTCTAAAAAAAGTAAATAAGTTTAGCCAAGGCTGCAGAACATAATGTCAAAACTGGAAAATCAACTGTTCCTAAATACTAGCAGTAAACAACTAGAAGCTCAAATTTTAAAAAATTACATTTACAATAGCCTTAAGAGGACAGAAATATTTAGGCATGAATGTAGTAAAATATGTGCAAGATCTGTATGCTTAAAACTACAAAAGGCTGATGAAAGAAATCAAAGAAGACTGAAGTGGATGGAGAGACATGCTGTGCTTAGAGGTTGGAAGACTCAGTAAAATACCAGTTCTTTCCAAAACACTCTATAGATTCGAAACTATTCTATCAAGATTTTTTTTTTTTTGTAGCTGCAGACAAGTTGATTGTAAAACAACTTTGGGGAAAAAATAAAGAGTAAGTTGGAGGATTCACATTACTTGATTTTAAAAATTACTATACAGCTACAGTAATTAAGACAGTGTAATACTGAAAAGGGGATAAAACACAGAGATCAGAACAGAATAGAAAGTCCCAAACCAGAAACCACTCAAATCAACCAACTGATTTTTGCACAGAGGTGTGAAGGCAATTCAATGGAGAAAAGATGGTTTTTTACCAAATAGTATCTAAACAACTGGACATCCATATGTAAAAAAAAACTCTGGACCTAAACCTCACAGCTTACACAAAAATTAACTCAAAGTGGACCATAGAGCTAAATGTAAAACTATGAAACTCTAAAAGATAAAAGCTTTGCAACCTGATGTTAGGCAGAGTTCTTAGCTATGACACCAAACCATGATCCATAAAAGAAAATTTTGATAAACTGAACTGTACACTTAAAATGGTTAAAATGGTAACTTTTATGTTATACATCTTTTATCACAATATAAAACAATCTAGAGTATGAGCAAAAGTCTTGAGCAGACACTTCACCAAAGATGGGTGGCAAGTAAGCACGTGGAAAAGTGTTCAGTGTCATTAAACACTAGAGAAATGCAAATTAAAGTCATGAGTGACAGCAATACACCCCTATAAGAATGGCAAAAATAAAAACTGTTGATACTGACAGGGATCCCAGAGCAGCTGGACGTCTCATACACTGCTGGAGGTAACCTAAAATGGTAGAGCCACTCTGGAAAAAGTCTGACAACTTCTTAAAAGTTAAAAATACACTTAACATACAATCATATGGCTGGGTACTTAAAGAAATGAAAATTTACATTCACACAAAAACGTGTAAACCAATGTTCACAGCAGCTTTACTGGAAATAGCTAAAACGAGATAAAGCCTAAACGTCCTTGTATGGATGAATGGATAACCGGATACAGCCATCTAGCTGTTCAGCAATAAAAGAGAATGAAATGCTGATACATGCAGCTACTTGAATGCATCTCAAGGGCATTGGGCTGAGTGACAACAGTCAATCTCAAAGGTGATTCCATGTAAAAAAACATTCTTGAAATAACAAACTCTAGTGGTTGAGATCAGTGGTTACCAGAAGTTAGGGGCCGGGGAAGGTGTGACTGTGAGGTAACAGGAGGGAGTTTCTTTGTGGTGACGCAACAATTCTGTATTCTGACTGTGCTGGTGGTTACATGAATCCGTACATGTGACAAAATTCTGTAGTACTATACACACGCTGAAAAA